ACATTGTACAGTGTTTTAAATAGAACAAGTACCCCTCTAGTTTCATCACTAATAAATAGAAGAATATAAAAATACAAACTGACAACACAGACTAGAAAAACAATACCAACACATTGTACAGTGTTTTAAATAGAACAAGTACCCCTCTAGTTTCATCACTAATAAATAGAAAAATATAAAAATAGAAACTGACAACAGAGACTAGGAAAACAATACCAACACATTGTACAGTGTTTTAAATAGAACAAGTACCCCTCTAGTTTCATCACTAATAGCTTGAAATATATAAATATACAAACTGACAACAGAGACTAGGAAAACAATACCAACACATTGTACAGTGTTTTAAATAGAACAAGTACCCCTTTAGTTTCATCACTAATAGCTTGAAATATATAAATATACAATACCAACACTATTTAACCTCCTTATGTGCAAAAATTAACTGAGAAGATAAAATGTGTAGTGTTACAGAACACTCAGACGTCTCCTTGTCAAAACTAAACAAAGAATATCTGACTACAAATACAAAAGCATCATTTATGAAATACCATGCTCCTGTAAACAGAATATTAAGATTGCACAAGTCTTATGAAAACACAGAATTCTGCTCTGGCAGAACACGTATTGTTGACCGGATATAAAATAAACGGACAAAATTACAGACACTTTGACTCGGATAAATTCTAGAAAACAAGAAAAAATCAAATAATCTTTCTACATCAACACGATAAAACCATTGCTAAATAGAGACCATGGGTCAAATTATCACTCGTTCCACCAACCAATCGCGTCCACTTCAATCTTCCAATCAAATCAACAATCATTTAAATCAGACACTAACACACACTACCAGGCACTAACGACATTCTTAACCGCAAAGTCACTGAAGGTGAATTAAATATCAACATAAAAACGATAAATAATTCTTCTCCCGGACACGAAAAGCCTTAACATAAAAACCTTAAAGAATTCTTCTCCCGAACACGATAAGCCTTAACATAAAAACGTTAAATAATTCTTCTCCCGAACACGAAAAGCCTTAACATAAAAACGTTAAATAATTCTTCTCCCGAACACGAAAAGCCTT